ATATATATATAAAATCAATATATAAAATCAGAAATACATACTCACATAGATTGATAATAGTAGAGTTTAACGTATGACAAAAACATGACATCAAACATAAAATAATTATATTTCCCAAAGACAATATCTTTTGCTAACATTCAATACATTATTATGAAAACTGAAACAGCTTGATACTATGCAGAGTGTTCGTCCTCATAGGTATTTTTAGAATTGTCTTTAAGAATTAAGTTTTAAAAAAATTTACAAATTAAGTACTACTATGTAAGTATTATTTAGGCAAACTACTATGAGCGGGAAAAAACTAGATGGAAATCTTAAGAATTACTATTAAGATAAACGGAATTGAAAACTTTAAAACCAGTTTGATATCATTTTATTTTATAACTGTCGTTGCACAGTCGACCCAAATTTTGGGTTGCGACTAGAAGTCAAGGGAACTCCTGGATCAAGTATTGGGAGAAATTTGCTTTCGTGGACGACTTTTGATGGAATTAACCAGCATTGGCGTTACTTGGAGAGGAAAGCCACGAAAAACTGCCACAGTTAACCTGAGGGCCAGGGGGCTCTAACCTATAATGCGTCTACCACTGAGAATGCTTTATGTCAGCACTGTGGTCGGTGTCAGACTGGTGCGGAAATTGTATCAACCAGCCATCAATGGGATTCGAACCCGGTTCACCTCATTTGAAGGCGAACGCTCTATCTCCTGACCAATCACAGCTTAAACCAGTCTGTTTTTATAACCATCGTTGAAGAGCTGACCCAAATTTCGGTTACGACTAGTAATGTTCAACTCCGTAGCCTTGTAATTTTGAACCCAATCCAGAAGACAAGAGAAATCCTGGATCAAGAATTGGGGAAAATTTGCCTTCGTGGAGGAATTTCCGATGGAACTAACCCGCATTTGCATTACATGGAGAGAAAAAACATGAATCCCCTCCCGGTTAGCTTGATGGCAAGGGGATTCTAACCTTTGATCTGTCTACCACTGATGTTATTTTACGTCAGTACTGTGGTCGGTGCAACCCGGATGCGGAATTCGTTTCGAGCAGCCATCGTTGAGAATCGAACCCGGATCATCTCACGGGGAGGCGAGTGCTTTATCCCATGCGCCACCACAGCTCATCGCTTTATTCATTGATTTAAAAATGATTTATACCATTGTGATATTTAAATAAGTTATCATTAATCAAAATAAAATTTTAAAGAAAATAAAACAAACGTGACAAATATGAAACCATCCAACAGTGGGCAAATCTTTTTAGATAAATTGAGAAAATAATAATTAATAATCATAACTATGTCATTTTCCAAAAAAATTTTGAGAATATGGAAATTTTTTTGACGAAAATCGAATTGAAAATAATCGAATTGAAAAATAAGATTTGAGATATAGTTAAAAAACGTCGTTAATTGCAAAATCTTTAATAACGAAATAGTTTTTGGTTTGTTTCATTAGATAAATTCAAGGAACAAAACAATTGGCATTTTAGATCAAAGTCACATCTGAATCCATGTTCTTTTGTTCATACGTTCTAACCACGTTTCTTTTGTTCATAGTTTCGCTTTTGCAACATTTCTATGAGGCTAAATATTTTAAAACCAAGGGTAATTTGAAATAAAAAACAAAAGTTCGTTATTAAAATCTTTAATAACGAAATAGTTTTTGGTTTGTTTCATTAGGTAAACTCAAGGAACAAAGCAATTGGCATTTTAGCTCAAAATCACATCTGAATCCATGTTCTTTTGTTCATACGTTCTAACCACGTTTCTTTTGTTCATAGTTCCGCTTTTGCAACATTTCTATGATGCTAAATATTTTAAAATCAAGGGTAATTTGAAATAAAAAACAAAAGTTCGTTATTAAAATCTTTAATAACGAAATAGTTTTTGGTTTGTTTCATTAGGTAAACTCAAGGAACAAAACAATTGGCATTTTAGCTCAAAGTCACATCTGAATCCATGTTCTTTTGTTCATACGTTCTAACCACGTTTCTTTTATTCATAGTTTCGCTTTTGCAACATTTCTATGAGGATAAATATTTTAAAATCAAGGGTAATTTGAAATAAAAAACAAAAGTTCGTTATTAAAATCTTTAATAACGAAATAGCTTTTGGTTTGTTTCATTAGGTAAACTCAAGGAACAAAACAATTGGCATTTTAGCTCAAAGTCACATCTGAACCCATGTATCACGTTTCTTTTGTTCATAGTTTCGCTTTTGCAACATTTCTATGAGGCTAAATATTTTAAAATCAAGGGTAATTTGAAATAAAAAACAAAAGTTCTTTTTTTGAGATTAAAATTAAAGGAGAAATTTGCTTGAGGTAACTTTTGACTATAATGCGTTGGTCTTTTTGAATATCGGCAGTTAAATCTTTATTTTGTTTAATTGAACTTCTTAAAAAATGTGTTTCGCTTAATCTAATAACGAAAAGTCATGGAAGAGGGAAAAAATTCAATGTCAATTTCTGAAGTTCTCTAAGCAATTGTTTCATTTTTTTATGTAGTGCATTTTTTATTTATTTTATTTTTAATTAATTTTCTTTTAATAATAGAATATAATAAGTAGCACTATGTAAAAAAAGGAGAAAAAGGAGAGTAAAAGACCTAGAAACAAAACAGAAATATTTGCTCAAAATAATGGACCCTGGCTTCCCAATTATTGGGGAGGGGGTTTGGACTCCCCTGGTTACGACGTCAGTGCTCCCAGACATTGCCCAGATGTGCCCATACACAAGGACGGTAATGTTAAGATCCCAGCAAACATGTCACTCTCCCTTCCACGAAGTTTAGTTAGTTTTCTGAGTTTCAGAAAAATGCCTCGAATCAATTTTAATTGTTTAACCTATATATTCATGTCCATGAAATAAAAAAATATATGCGTTGCAATTTAGATCATATAAATCAGTGGGAAAAAAATCAAGTCATCTCAATTAAAAAGAGCTTTGAAAGAAATTCATACTGGCGCAATTGTTCCTTGACCCCACCAAATTCTCAGGAAGTAAATGGATGGTATTTTCAATGTAAATGTAAACGATAACAATCTCTAGCTCCATACCTGCTCTAGTTCCGGTTAGAAAGTTTGAAACTGCTTACTAAAGCTTATTCTGTGAGGTGATATGGATGGTGTTTTCTACACTAGGGAACGCTGCAAGCTCGGGACTGCCTAAATTTGTGCTTCCAACCTTTGCGTAATTACTTTTCCACACAGGAAAATTGACAATAATCTACAAATGAATCTAATTNCACAAAAATTTGGAACAGAAAAAATGTTCACGTTTTATTTAAAGTCGTGCAAGATTATTATAGATTTTATTATAAGTTCTGCTAGAAACCGAAACTAATTATTTAATCCATTTATTATATGAAATAATAAATTTGTGAGAGAAAAAATTATGTCTGAAATATATTCATAAAATATCTAGGTAAATGATTATAAAAAATCATAAAATATCTGGGTAAAAATTATCTTTGAAATCGGAAATCTAATTTAATCCCAGCGTTAAACGCATCCTATTCGAACGTTCGAATCGCTTTCACCAGCAAATTGTTAGGTGAAAGCTTTCCGATAGATGGGAGGAAAAATGAAGATCGCAGCCCGTTAGCAAAATCCGTTCGAAAGCGCGAGGTTTCAGGTTTTCCCTAGGAGTAGAAACGTGACGTCAAAATGACGTCATTTTTCTCTTCCTAGCTCGTTCGAAGTCTGCGAGGTTTGAGCTCTTGGCCTCTCTCCATTTGTTTATTACTGTTTGTTCTTGTTGCAAGCTGTGCACCATCTTACGTTAGTGTTAGCATATTGTTCAAGGAGCAAGATAAAGTTTATACCTTATAATTCAGGTATAAATTAGAAAGCTGGCATAGATTATTGATAAGGTAAGAAGTGTTTCACAACGATTCTTTTTTCAAATGTTAGGTTTACATATTTATTATTGATCAAACCACATGTTACTACTACTTAACACTACTATTTCACAATTAATGTTAAAATTATATACTCTTTAAACCTTTGTAAACACAAATAATAAGTAATCAAATTCTACCACGTTTGCAAGACTCTCAAAACACAATGATCACGTTGTGAACCAAATGACTTTAAAATACACCGGAAACAGTAACCCGGAAGTATGCGCGGTGTAAAGAGCATGCAGCGCTTCCTAGTGTAGAAAACACCATCCACAGGTTTTACAGGAATTGATGCATTCGTTTCTTAGCTATAACTTTACCTGTATAATTTGTTGTTGTGTTCTCTTAAAAGCGGTGATGTAACGTGGTATACGAAGTTTCCAATGAATATTTTATAACTGTTTAATTAAAAAATTTAATGAAATAACAATTTTTTTCTTTGATCGCTAAGTTTTAAACCAAGGTACGCATAAAAAAATATTCTATGAAAAAAACACCTTTAACGGAATGACATGTCATTTTTGTTTCGTTCCATATGAAAATTTCAAAAATTAAAACCATTTAATTTATTCAGGCTCCATGTAAAAGTATCTTTATTTAGAAATTTTAAAAATTATGAGTTTCATAGATTCTGATTTCTATACATCTGGTTAAGTTTTGAAAATTCTATTATATTTAGAATACTTTTATTGAAGTATATTATGGGTTTATGTCATTAATTTAGCGCCAAATCCTTTACTTTTTTAATAAAATGAATTTATTACATTCATTTCATGGAGCAAAATTTTTACGAAAATTTACTCTATTTAATTGTTGGGGATATTTCTGTATCGTGATAATGGGGTATTTTTGTACCAGGGTTAGCTAGTTTTTAATGTCAAATCGAAACACTTCTACCTTAGCTATTGTATTTGGTGCGACAGATCACAATACGAAAATATTTAAAAGAAAATTTTGACTGTTGAAAAAAATATTTTGTAATTATTAAATATTCTTGTTTTGTACTTGCAAAGTGCCATGACAATTTTATTTAACTAAATATTAAAGAAGTAACGAATATTCGGCCACTATTCAGTGTTGGTATATTCCGTTGGCCAAATATTCGACTTAAGTTTCTTTTCTGAATTCGAATTAATTTAATAAAACGAAATCTAAAGTCGTATTTTTTACTGTACATTAGTTGAAACAGATTTTACACATATTTGTTATGTTCGGAAAAACAAGAAAAATCTAAATTTGAAGAATTGAAACTAGATTACTTTGAAACCACAAGCTTTGTAGTGCTAATATTTTTTTTAAAACTATATTCACTCAGACAATTTGATCATTTTTTCAAAAATTTTTGTTTTAAGAATTGAGAATATTTTTTGTATTGCTGCGTTTTTGTGTGTGTGTGTTTCCTTTTTACAATTTTCTGTTTTTCTTATAGCAAAGCATTTTACCAGAACATTTCTAATAGTTTTAATTCTTTTATTGACATTTTTTCCTGTATGGTAAAACAGATAACCGGTAACCTGGAAAACTATGATTTTCAACCTTAAAGTTATATTTCAAGCAAAATTTTTTTGTTTCTCATGCATTTTTGGTAATTTTTCTTTTTATCAGCATTTTTATTATGACAGACATTATTTTTTTATTATATAAACATTATTTTTTTACTGTCCATGTTTTCTAAAAATACGGCAGTGTGAAAAAGTTAATTAAAATTTTTGGTGTTGAATGCTATGTTTAAAAATTAATTACGATTTTTATTTGGTTTCTTTCTAGCTTTTTCTTTTTTGAGAAACTTTTGTGATTATTGAGGTTTTCATTATGACACTGCAATTAAGAGAGTTTCTATTAGATTTATAATTCTATTTTCTTCACTTTTTCTTGAAAATGCAGTAATTGGGAAATTGAGATAGCTTTTTAATTTTTCTCTTTCGCTTTTATATATAATATTATTTTATGGGCATTTTTGTGATAGCACAAGGTTTTTAAAGGCATTTCTGATATACTCTTTTAACCTTTTATTGCTTTTTTTTTCTCCGAAAAATATATTTAGCATTAAAGTTTTGTTTTAAATGACTAAGAGGATTTTTTTTTTCTCTCTCTCTCTTTTATGACCTTAGTTATTTTTATTTTTTTAGTCTTTTGCAAACCATGTTAATCAAGTTGCGGAGACTTGGCAATTATTCTAGTGCAGATCATGATGCATACATTTTTACTTTTAGTTAATATTTATGTTGAAAGTACTTAAATGATTTTGCTTCTAAATTGTTTAAAAAAATGTTTTTTTTAAAAATTATTTTAATTTTATATATATTATTATAGCATGCCATGTTTTAGGGAAAATAATAATTAAAAATAAAATAAAACAATAACATTCTAGGTTCAATTTTAGACTTGTTTTTCTCACAATCAATTTTAAACACAGTTAGAATTTCTGCAACTGCTCCTCTCAACTTTATTTCTGTATTTTTTCATTGTTCATTCTTTCTTTAATTTTTTTTTAATTGTTCGCATTTGACTTGCCTTTTTAAACTTCTATTTTCTCCCTTTAATCTTGTCCTTTAATAATTGCTTGGCTCATTTTTTTCTTTTATTTTATTGTTACACTTTTTTTATAAAGTTTATTTTTAAGGTTTTATTTACTATTTTTTTCCTTTCCTGCTTCATTGTTGTCATTTGGTATGGGTATGCCATACACGAAATATGCTCTTGCCTTTTTATTCCTGTTTCATCTTTCAACATAGAAACAAAATCAAATATCAGTCTATTACACTTTGAGGAGTTTCTTTTCATCAATAATTCATTATATTTTACGGCCTAGGAAAAAACAAAAGTAGCCACATCTAAAAAGTTGTTGAAACGAACTGCCAATAAAAAAAGGCAGAAATAGTTATACAATAATATGTATCATAGGGTGCATAGCATTTTTAAAAAGTGCTTGAAGTTGCTTTTTTTCCATGGGTGTTTTTAAAAAGCGCTTAATTTTCCCTTTTCCGAAATGTAATATTTTTCTTTACCGTGTCTTAAAATATCACATATCGGTAAGATTTTTTAGTAATAAATATTTGATTGATATTAACAAACTCTAATTCGATAGCAGTATGTAGCTATAAATTCATGTTTTATGTCATGAAAGTGCACTCCTTTTCTAATCCACAGTCTTTCACACTTTTTTGGATGGTATCTGTGAACTGAGTTAAGGACTGACAGTTTAAGGCTTAATAAACATAGTATTTTAAAACCTTTTGTCATATTTTACTTTTGATGATATTTATAGAATTTTGTGTGTTTTCTTAGTTATTATTTTCATTGGTTATTGTTTATTGGATTATTTTCAATAATATATGCTAGAGCATTTATTATTGAAAATATTTTGCTCCAGCTTCATAAGTTCCTGATATTAACAACTTATATTTCAGTTAATTTGAATCTTAAATAGCTAATATTTATTCATTATTTTCAGAACAGCCTCATTATGCCACTTTCGTGCCGTTTTTACAGCCAAAAGTACCCGGAAATAGAAGATGTTGTTATGGTGAAAGTTCGCTCAATAGCTGAAATGGGTGCATATGTTTCATTATTAGAATACAATAGTATTGAAGGAATGATTTTGCTTTCTGAACTTTCTAGAAGACGTATCAGATCTATAAATAAGCTTATTAGAGTTGGAAGAGATGAATGTGTTGTTGTCATTAGAGTGGATAAAGAAAAAGGTAAATATAATTTGCTGTATTTACTATGTTGAAAAAGTTCCAGTTGAAGTTTCAACAAAGTTTTACAGTTACCTATGTTTTGCATTTTTCATTTTATATCATAAAATGTCAAATTGTGCATAATTTTTATCAATTTGTTTTATACTCATATATTAAAATAATTTTGGGAGTGTTTAATAGCTTATACTATATAATACTATGTAATACAGATATCTTTAGGCTTGGGCTACCACTATACATTTTTCTTGATTTCTGTCATTGAAGACGTCCACAGTAGTTCAATCAAAGAAGTGCAATGAACGACAAAATTCAGAGTTTAAAAATTAACTGTAATCCATTTGTTCAGGGACCACCATAAAATCAGTGGTCAATAACAGATGTAAAGGGTTGGTATACTATTCTGGTGATTTCTTTTTAATTTTTTTTTTTTGTTTGGGTCTTTGTCCAATGTAGCACACATCTTTGTTACTAAACATTACATATTATAAGTATTTGATCTCCCATTTAAATCCAATGTATTGCCTTTAAAAATATATATATTATAGAGGCGTGTAAAGACTAGTAAGATCTTTTAGTCCGTGGGACGAGTGTTTTAAAGTTTCTTAATTTCTATTCCTGATGTGGCAGTGCCAAGTATCTATAGTACAGAAAATAATCTCTTTAACTATGAAGTATTTTAACAACAGTGGCAGCTAGATAGGAGTAAAAATTAATTATTTTTTAAGAGCATCAAATTTTTCTGATATTTTGATACTAAGGGAGATTTATTTGGTAAATCTACAGAAAATAGCATAAGGAGGTAATTTGAAAACTGAGGATCAAATACATTTATTACATAAGATTTCACATTTTGATACATTTTAACGGTGGTGAGTGCCCTTTCGAACTCAATTTCAAGTGCCCTTCTCTGTGGGCAAGCACCCTGCCCTTTTTTATTCCTAGGGAGAACTCTGTATTTCCATAAAATGAAAACTTCAAAAATGTATTAAAATTTTTTAGCATGTAATCAAGATTCGTTGCTTAAAAATTATAAAATAATTTGAGAAAAGTATTTAAAAATGTGTGAAATTATAATAATAACTGAAGTAAAGAAGGTTGACAAACTAACTTCCTTTTTGTAATTTCTTTGAAGAAAAAAAAGTACTAAAATATCCGTTTTATTGGGGGGGGCAGGTGGATAGGATGACATTCCTTCCTTATTACAGAGCTCATTTTAGACAGGGTAAACAGGGCGCAGCACCCTGCTGCCCTTTTAGTCAAAAGAACCCACCTTGTTGCCCCTGACGTAAATTAGTGCCCTGATGTAATAGACTCCATACCCTTTTTGCCCTTTCTGTCTTTAACCCGTCTTTATTTTTTCCTCAAACTCTACAATGGATTTCTTAAACTTTTGTTGTTTTTTAACTCTTTTTATTTAGTTTCTCATTGCTGTCAATACATAGATTTATATGGGAAATGAAAAATAGCCATCACACCCCCTTGTTGCACTTGTCTTTGAAAGTTTGCAGTTACTTCCACTATCATTAAATCATAACTACAGACACTCAAAAACATATATTTATTAATATATGCATGCATTTTAAATAAATTACTAAGCTAATCAGCTCATTAACTCGATATATATGTTAATTTATTAATAAAAATTAGTAATTAATATGATTGCTTTGCTACTTTTAGTAAAGTTAAAAGAAAAATTTCTTTTACTAATTGACAATGTTATTTAATAGAACGTGTAAAGACCATAGAAAGAAATTATTGCCTTCTTAGAATAATAATGCCCTTTTTTTAAACTTTTGCACCCTGCCTTTTTTCTGCCTAGAATGAGCTCTGCTTATTATTAGGTGTATCTGTATAGTGAATATTGTATATAACTATCTACATAGCTGCAAAATTTTAGGTATTCTATTTAAAATATTATTTTTACATTTAAATTGGATGTAAAATTTATGCTTCCTATTTCATTCTTGCATTTCTAAATTTAATTTAAAATGGTTTTTGACCACCACTATATATAAAATGGGTTAATATTTATATATAAGTTGTTAAAAAAGTTCTGCAACACTTGCGAAAATTTCAACTTCTATGAATTTTCCTGTTGTCTTCTTGTTTTTTGGTGTTCTTAGTTTTAATTTTCATCAATAGGCTCTAAATTCATCAATTTTCATCAATAGTGCATAAAACTGAACTTCTGGTTGTGATTCATTATTGCTATAAACAAATTAATTATTAGTTCATTTATCATTTACCAGTGTTGTAGAACTTTTTTAAACAACTTAATAGATCATGATAATTTTACTTTGTTATTTTTACATTCTGAGCCAAATTCAATTTTTATTTTACTACCATTAGAAATAATCATCCTTGGAGTAATTAAAAGTTAGCCATTTGGCATCTTTTTTTTCTAAAAAATCCCTTTTTTAAAATCTTTTTTTCCTATCACCTTGCTTTTTGTTTATTCGACAATAAAAATGGATTAAAGAATTTAGTAAAATGCTTCCCTTTAATCAATCGATTCATTTAATTGAAAGAAAAGAAATTTACTACTGAAGTGAAAAGTGTTGTAAATGTTATTCTCTTTTTAGACTGGAGTGCTTTTTCATTTTTACCTTAAAATAAATAACTTTATAAACATTTAGATAATCTTAATTTCCTTTATTTTAAGCTTATTCACCTGTGAGCGAAGAGAGAATAACCTATTCTTACAAAGAAGCATTGCATATTCTTATGTAGCCATATTGTTTCAGGTCTAAACTTAGTTCCTAATTTTGTTTTAGGTTGTTTTTTATAAAAGAATTTATCCGTTTTTGAGATTTATTATTTGTTTCAATTTGACATGCGTTGTAAATTTAAATTGAATATAAAAAGAAATATTGTTGTATAGCAGTATGTCCCAATCTTTTTTTCCTTGTGTTCGCCATCAGTAACTAGTAATTATGTAGAACATTTGTTTTTCATGTTGCATAATACTAGTTACAAACAAGAAACAAAAAATATGATCATAAAACATCTGCAAACCATTTATAAAATAGGAAGAAGAAAAATAATTTAATTAACCAGCTGGGTTTTAGTTTAGCAAACACTTTGCAAAAATTCTTAATGGTCTAATTGTGCTCATCTGATAGAACAAAGGAATTCCAATATTGGCTCATTTCTGACAATTTCATTCTTTCAAAATATTAACCTTGCAGAAAATATATGTAAAAAATTTTATTTCTTATTAGTCATTTCAAATTCTGTTATTACCATAATATTTTCACAAATCCTCTTTGTACAATCTCACTTATCTGTAAGGGCCTGTAAAAACCAATGCTATAAAGAACCATTTATAATTTAATATTTCTTAGAAAAACTTAGAAAAAAATGAGGATAGTTTATCTATATTATTCTTAGACACTAAAATGCTTTCTATGATATTTATAAATCTATACAATCTACCATTTATCAGGTGAATGTCCAGCATCTTTGAAAAACATGATATCCAACCTAACAGAGCTTTTTTAATTAAGAAAGTCTTTATTTTGTGCTTATGGTCTTTAAATATCAATTTCTCACAACTGCATTTCTGACTCTGCACTGCTATGTAATAGAGTTGAGCTGTATTTCACTTTTCTTAACAGTTTATTGATTTGAAATAATAGTGATAAAATTACTAACTACAGAGAAATATTAGTTTGGTATTTTTAATGCAATAATATAAAATATTTAACAAACTGTTTTCCAAATCATATTTTAAAATGTTAATTTACAGGTTATATTGATTTATCTAAAAGAAGAGTATCTCCTGAAGATATCGAAAAATGTGAAGAGAAATTTGCCAAAGCCAGAGCTGTGAGTTTCCCCCTTAATAATATTTCTGTTATGAATAACAATATTGTAACTATATTGAATAACTATATATTCTGTTATGAATAACTATATTGTTTTGTAATGAATAACTATATTATTGTCTCTAAATTCCAGGTAAATAGTATTCTTCGACATGTTGCTGAAATTTTAAAGTATGAAACAGACGAGGAATTAGAAGAACTATATCGTAAAACAGCCTGGCATTTTGATGACAAAATGAAAAAACAAGCTACTTCATATGATGTCTTCAAACATGCTGTAACGTAAGGCATATTTAGGCTTATTCCACTGATTTTAAAACCAAGGGGCTGAACTTTTTTTATATGTTTATCATAGCTGTGGCACATATTGTTAAAGAAAAATATATGATCTTCCTTATGGAGGACATTATTTTTGTTAAAAAAATAAAAAAATTATGTTTCATCATAAATTATCTTTTTTACGATATTAGCCAAAAATTGTTAATGATCTATTTTATTATTATATTTCTTAAAGACTTCTAAAATTTCTTAAAACTTTTAAAATTTCTTAAAACTTCCAAAATTTCTTAACACTTGTGATCTGTACTAATCATCGTTTAATTTTCAATTACTAATTTATTTTTAGTAAGAATACATCAAAACACATTTTTTAATCCAATCAAAACTTATCAATGTTTTGGGGAATCACAAGCGTGACCATACATACGTATTTTCTGTTACATTTGTCATTAAATTTACATAATTATGAAATTTACAAATTATAGTCATACTGTTTTATAAAATTATATCCAAAAATTAAAAATGTGACTTCAAGCATTCATGTATGTGACATGGAATTCTGAAATGCTAAGTAAACGTTTAAATTAAACAGATCCAAACTGCCTCCTCCTCCTAGTTTGACATATAAATCAAATTGATACTGTGTTGTGTTGCAAGTAGATTTTACTATGAATTATTCATGTGAATGACAGAACGAAATACAATCTGTGCTTTACAGCAGAGAAAATGTAACTTTGTTTACATGTGCATTGCTCGAAAATAATAAATAAAAAACGCATCATTGTCTTATTGTAAGTATCAAAGGTAATCAAAGCTTATCAAAGGTGAATCTGAACTATCTGTGTCTGCTTTTATTTAAAACCTCTTGAAATTATTAAATTTGGCAAATAAAGCTGAAAACGAGTTTTTTCTATAAATTTCTAGAAATTCAGGTTGCTTAAGCTTTCTGATTAGAAATTTATAATATAAAATAATCTTTTACTACTTTATAAACATGTTGAGATATTTTGTTAATTAAGCAATCGTGGCTTAGTCTTCGATTTAAATAAGAAATATAAATATTCAATCATTTCTTTGAAAGATTATTTTTAATGACTACTTTATACTTTTGTAATTTTACTTTTATAAGAACTAGGAAAATTTTAAAAAAGCTGTTATGTTTTAGTAATTATAACAAATGCATTTTTAAGTGGTAAAAAATTAAAATTTAAATAAATTAGTAAATTTTTAAAAAACCTTTACGTTTTGCATTGTAAGAAATAATTTTTTAAGTGAAATAGGAGAAGATCAAAATAGCGATTCAGTTTTTGAATTTAATTTTAGGGATCCAAGTATTTTAGATGAATGTGGTCTAGATGATGAAACAAAAGAAGTATTGTTGTCTAACATTAAACGAAGATTAACTCCACAAGCTGTTAGAATCAGAGCAGGTATTTACTCTTGTAAAATTTTGATTATTTATTTCTATATTCAAGTAGCTAATATTTCTCTCCTTTTACAATAATAGATATTGAGGTAGCATGTTATGGTTATGAAGGAATTGATGCTGTTAAAAATGCTCTTAGAGCTGGTATCAACTGTTCTACTGAAGATATGCCCATTAAAGTAAAACATTTTTAATAATTTAATTTTCAAAATATATTAAACAAGGTAACTGTATAATTTTCACCAACATTTATCATTTAGAAATGTTATTGTTAAAAAGGTTTTATTTGATTTTTTAATATTGAAACAGTACATTTAAGGACAATTGCTGTTGCTTATTTTTATTGCATACACTGCTATCTGAAACAGAGATTTTGCTGCTTAAGTACTAAAAAAAATAATCCTTTAAGTATTCCCTGATAAATTTAAAAAATTTCAAAAACTGAAAATGTCTTTCATTATTGTAGGGTAGTGTGTAGTACATTTATATATGTATATATATATATATATATATACAGTCAAACCCCGCTATAGTGAACCTTCAAGGGACCGAAATTTCGGTTCACTATATCCGTTACGCAGACAATTTAACTAATGGTTCCCAAACTCCTCCCTTTTATTACACATTATTCAAATAAATGACTGGAAAGCATTATGTAGTAGCAAAAAATTTGTTATTTTTCATCACTCTTCGTCTTGAGTACATAAAAATTTTTTTTTTTAATCTTTAGCTGATGAGCAATCCTCAACATCAGATATGGAAACACTTCCCGACTCTCAGATAATTTTTCCTGAATTTCTGTTATTCCGCTTTTTAAACCTGTCTAACCTGCCATT